TTTTTTGTCAACATCAACTCACCATATATTTTACAGGATTTTACAGTACCCCCTTTGTTTTGTCTGGAATATCTGTTTACATTACATGTTGTATTTTTTCCCACAAAAGCTGATGATGATTCTGTGAAACATAAGTATAAACTCTGATGAGCCATAATTGTGTCTATGTTGCCCACAAGTCTAATACAATCATGGTTTTACATTCATTTGTATTTCGGTATCCTCTCGTAAATGTTGGTGTCCGGTCACAGAACCGGAAATGAAATTGTATTGCTTTTATTTCTGCTTGAATTCCAGGTAGAAATGTGACACAGCTGCTTAGAAACCCTGCTGTTAACTCTGAATTTGGTCATTTCGGTGAAGCAAAATACATTAACTCTGTATTTTATTGAAGAAACACATTGAGCTAAACTGGTTTGGTCCACACATTTTGATATTGAAGTTTTATTTAAACAAAAAATAAATAAATAAAGATCAAGTCACATTTACTATTAAACTAAATACTTGTTTGTTATTAAATCTTTAAAGGGTCAAAAACTACTTAGAATAAGCAACTAAACAAATCTCTCCATGAACTTTTCCCACATTGCAAGAGGCCATTTCCAAAGTCATTTGAGCAGCAGTCTGCAAACCAAAGAAGCAAAGTTTGGACTGACTGCCCCTGAACTTAAACGAGGGTAATGTACAATACAAATGCCATGGACAATGTTGCATCCTGACTGACTAACAGGGAGGAACAGCACGTCCCAGTTCCTCATCCCGTCATCAGGAACCAGACAGGAAGGCAACAAGATGGTGACCAGAGGTCAGGTAACTGGTCTCCCATCAAGGTCTCAAAAAGCTGTGCTGCTATACTCTTATGCAACATCCTCAGCTGTGCAGTCATATTATTATAAGGTCATATCTTGTACCAAGAGTTGTGTAAATATCCATACATTTCTATATGTCTTTGGTTACTTCTTTGCACTTAATAAAACTTCCCAACTTTTCAGGAAATTAGAATTGTAGGGAGCAAAATGACTAACAGATATCCACAACATTTTTCAAATAAATAGGTAAGAGCACACTTTTGTAATTACTATTCAAAGCCCCAATTATGTCAGTAATTAGGGAATAATATCAGGTAATGTGTTTTGTAAAGAAAATTTGAAAAAATGTTTTTTAAATAGGCAACGTTTGGACTGCCCCTGAACTTAAATGAAGGTTGATCTGTTATATATTTATAACATAATGGTGATACTGGTTTCTGTATCTCGTCATTGTTTTCTCTTTTCTCATTTATTATCACATTTGGCAGCTGTCCAGGCATTTAGCTGACACTATTATGAAAGCCACTTAAACAAGAAGCTGAGGAGACTCAGCTTAAATGAAGTTAATACTGTTTGCCTCTCTGCGGTGCTGAATGCCACAACTGTCTGAGTGGTATGTGCAACACACAATACATTGTTTGGCCAGTTCCACTCACTTAGTAGCCGGTACTCTCATATTAGAGTTATTCAAACTGAGGATGAGAAAGTTTCACTTCTTAGAATGCCAGCTTTTCAGAGCAAACACTGATGTGTGAAACCATGTCCACTTGACATACAAAGAACACAACTGAACCAAACAGGCAACAAATTCTCAGAATTTTTTCAATTCGTGTTAGTAATCAAAACATACATTTTTGTGCTCACAGAGCACATGTAGAATCAGCTGATACTTTTCCAACCAAAAGGTACTTGATGTGTCCCAAAGTACTTATTTTTGTTATCGGAGATTATAAAACATGATGTGCTCACTCCATTAAGTTCACTGGAGTAAATGTATGAAGCATCAAAGATCAATGGTTGTTAATAAATCCAAAGAGTTATACAACTGTGGCACTTTTTTTTTTTCATTTCTCGTGAAAAGAAACTTTGATTTGATTGTTCATTGTATGTCAAAATTGGGAGTTGATGTATATTTTCTATTACTGAGACATTGCAATGTTTGTTGAATTTTGTTTCTTGGTGATATTTACATGATAAATACTCAGAGGGCAATTTTCAACTTTTACTAATCGGGACATTTAGAAAAATACATCAACTCAAGCACAGTGTTCCAAATATGTCTCCTCACTGCTTAATATATGCCCAAACATGTGCCCTAACCTGAATTCTTATAGGTAACTCTAAGCATTTACATGCTCATCAACACACTGGGGTTATTGTAATTGTGAGTGACCCCACCTGTCACACGAGAGACCGGGGTTTGATTCCCCGATGGGGGAGATACACATGTATATATTCTACTTTGTAAGTTGCTTTGGATAAAACCGTCTGCTAAAAGCATAAAAATAAATGGAGACTTGAGATGATTTTCTTTTTTTGTCAATAGCCCAACTAACCATTTATTCTTGTTTCAACGCCGCTGTGATTCTGAAGGCAGATCTTCCTGTCTGGAGGCAGCAGTAAATCACAATGACGGTGAACTAATAGCTTTGAACGGCACACTCACGCAGAGGTCAGTAAGCCTGGGGTGTGACTGAGGTCTGCATGCAGCAGGAGAACGCGGCAGACTGTTTTGTCCTTCTCAAAATGCTTTGACATTTCCTGTTATGCAGACAAATCACCAGCAGCCCAAAGAGACACAGAACATGCTGATACAACTCCGATTGGATTTCTCAGGTTCTATGGGTTATCACTGTATTTCTCAGCGTAAATTGTGGTGAACTGTTCTGCAGTGAGAGGTAAAAGTGAGCAATGTATGTGTCAGTTTGCAACATCTGCAACTTTACATTAAGGGACACTGAAACTGTTCACAACATCCAATTCTCTCTTTGAAAACTCTATCAGAAGAACACAGGGTCAGCATTAAGCGGATGATAGTGCATGACTGAGATTCTCAGTCATCAGTCTTTGAAAAGGAACATACCAGCTAAACATATGTCTGAGAAATGAGGAATAAATTTAAAAAAGGGGGAAGAAAATTGATTTAGACTTCACTTAGAAGTTACATTTAAATGTAGGGATTCTAAAAGTTATGAATCTAATAGATATCAAGTTCAAAAGAAAGAAAAGTAAAGTTTTGGAGATTTTATTTGCCCCCTTCAGGTTTTACTACTTTCAGCTCATTAGGAGTGGCCATCACAGTACCCCGAAGAAGAACCAATACTCAACTAGAAAGGATGAGCCTTTTATTTAGAATGCTTATCAACATCAACTGTACATTATGTTTAATATGAGCCAACGGTAGAATTACGTGATACATCAAGGACTAATATCATCCAGGAAATTTCCCATGAACATAAACCTACACAAATAAACTATACAGTCCACATAATGTTGAATGGAACCTTTGCAGTATATATAGCATGTTGCAAGAAGAAGTTTAAAAGTGCTGAGAGCCGGTTGTTTTTGTTGTTGTCTTTCCTTACTTTGTTTTCTGTTCTTAGGCCTCTGAACGGCTTGTGTCTGCCCCTCTCATGAGCGTCTGTCTTGGAGGTGAGCAGACGTACCGTGTTGGTTATGTAAGCTGAAAGACCACCTCTGGCTCCTATCTTTTTCTCTATCTGAGCACTCAGTATTTTTGCCCTGATGAGTAAAAGGAATGAAAACAAGAGATGTGAAGGCTGAGGGTAGTATGTTGAAAGGAAGCCTTTTACAGAAGAAGCCCACTGTGTCCTACATAGAAAGTTTTTCCACTGATGTGAGTCCTTCAGTACATTTGTTTAGGAAAATAATTTCCTACGGCATTATGAGTGGTAAAATGTAGTGACCCTTACCTCCAACAATGCTTCAATGTAAATGAAGATTTGTCTGCTGGCGGCCATGAAATAATTTTGTCATTTTTCTTTCAGAACTTTGTGTTTTTCAAAAGTCATTCTAAATGTCAGACAAATGGGTTTAACTGGGTTGTTTCAATAAAAACAAAACAAACAAACGAAGGAAAAATCATTCCTGAGCAATGTTTTTCTAAAAGGAACCACTGAGAAATTTTTACAGCAAACAAAGAAGAAGAAAACATCCTTTTGGGCCTAGACTAACTTCTTTTGGAAACTTAAAACGTTCTAAACGTTCTTCCTTCTAAAAGAGTAATTACTCTTAGGTTTGCGTCACAACAAAATGTTATTTAGTATGACTCCGAGAAGAGAGCGAGTTTTTCTCAGAACAGCAAATGCCGAGCAAATTATCTTTGCGGTGATAAAGCGGAGACATAAGTCACAGCTACATATTAAGCACATAAAGACATGACTTCCCAAAATAGTCCAAAGGAAAGGACTTTTCAAACAGCAGAGTTAGTTCAAAAACAATCTTGGCCTGTTTCTTTCTTCTTTTAAATTTATTGTTGTTCAATTGTAAAGTAGTCCAAAATGTCAACTTGACAGAGGAAACTCTGCAGACATTTATGGCACATTGAATCGTGACTGACAGGTTCTATCACCCCGAAGCAACAGCTCCAAAGTTGTACATCTTGACAGAAGTTATGCCTGTAAATTTAGAGTCCTGACAGTTCTGTGGTGTGAAACCTATGTCCACCTGCCACTAAAATGTAATAAACCTGTCAGAAAGTTCAGTGTATCATAGCATGTAACAAACTGAGTCTGCAGGATTAAGGACAGGTCACTCCTTTGTGTTGTCCAGGTTTTCCTTGTTGTTTTTTTGCATATATTTTTCATAGAAATTATTAGTGAATCAATTCTGAAAACACTGGCCCCAGAACACGTAAGGCAAACGTGCCATTGCTGATAATAGAAAAGGATGTCTGTTAAAAAAAACAAAAAACACATGATTTTTTGTTAAAAACTGCAGTTGTAAAGGAATACATTTGCTTGTCTGAGTCAGTTAAATGAATTATTTCCGGTTTGTTCACCTGCTCATTAGTGTCTCGTGAATATTGTGCAGCACAAAGCTAAACATTGTCGGTCTAACTCTGTCTGAGGACGTGTATCCTGTAACAGCCAGAGAATAGTCTGCACCCAAGCTTACCCAGGTCTCTGGTTCAGGTGTTTCTCATTCAGTAATCAGTCTGGCAGCAAATAAATGACGTTACGACTAAAGAACACCAACTATTTAGTCAAGCAGCCGCTGAACCCTTTTCTAACTATGTTGTTCCCAGATATTCAACACAACACTACGCGTTTCCCCTCTATCCAGAACTCTGTAAGAAAAAATAAAGACATGGTATAAACGTTTGGGCACGCATCACCCCTCATACAGCCTCACACCGCCTCCGGAGGGGGGGGGGGCAGAGGGGGGAGGCGTTCCCAGTCTGAAGCAGAGCTCAGTCCGGCCCATTAAACCGGCCTCAGTGTGGAGAGAAAAGCGCACCGAGGCACATCCAGGCTTACGCACGCCAAAAGATGGTCTCCGCAGAAAAGATCTCCCGGTAAAGACCCGCTTTTACGCACGAGAGGGGGGCGAACGAGTGGTGAATCCGGCTTATTTGCACCGGTGCCTCAGACCACCCCCCCACCATCCACCTCCCCTTCCCCGGTCAGCTGCGTCTGCCTTTGTTCGGCTGCCGCATCTCCGCTTTCACCTCCAACATGGAGCGCTCAGAGAAGGAGCACAGGTCGGATGACGAGGCTGAATACGAGGACGAAGAGGTGGACCCCAGAATACAGGTGGGTAATCCTTCAGTCACAGTCTTATAGGTTTATTTAAATGAATAAAGTCAGTGTGCAGCATAGTCTGTCCCCATTCTGCTGCAGACAAACAAAAGAGCAATTAAATATTTTTCTGATGTATGTGCATGTCTGTATGTGTGTGTGTATATATATAGAGAGAGAAAGAGAGAGACATTGAACTTCCTCTTTAAACCTTGAATCTATAATAATTTCTGTGGTTGTGTGAGTTTGTTGATTGTAGCCACTGTGACATTGATGCAAAAGTGAAAGACATTTTGATCCCATCTGCTGGTTCAGTTCAGAGAGGCTAAATTATGACTCCCGGAAAGTCTCGATGAGCTGGTTTTAAAGCACAGATGTCTGAACACAAGAACACAAGTTCCACAAGAGCAGAAAAGGATCGTCAAACTCGTGCATTCAAAGATAGACAACCGGGCTCAACATGTAGACGGTGGTTTCCCTTCACCACCAGCCGGATTTCTCTAAATAGAGCGAGCCCCTTCATCTGTTTGGTTTTCTGACTCTTCACCAAAAGAGAAGGTGTTTGAAAGCTGAAAATAATGAGCAGTTTGGTTAACTCAAAGTAGTTTCTTTGAGAGGCTTTTGATGAAAAGACAAGGAGATGAGGAGAGAATTCTCACTGGGTCTTCCATTACGATTTTGGGCAGGTTTTCGGATGGTAAGAGTTGTTGAATTTAATAGCGAAACAGTTTATTCTTTGAGGATACACTGATTCAGTCCCTTTATCATCTTTTAAGTCAATTTCGTCAAAAATGAAATGGTAAAATTTAGTTGTCTGCTTTGTCACAGTGGGAAAGGGAACTAAATATTTTGGAAAAACAGTATATCGGTTTTAAAATGTTACCAAAGACCTTTGCAGTAAGGCCTAGACATTTTCTTCACCTGCAAAACCAAACTGTCTACAGTCAGCTTCATTTTTCAGCTCCTCCTCTCTACCAAGAAGAGTTTGTGAATAGTCAAGTTAACCAGGAAGAGCTCTCATGCGTTTGTCTGTTGTCTTTTTACTCAAGTGAATGAACCACTTAAAACATCTCAGGTGCAGCTTTTGCATTCATTTCTGCTCCAGTGTTCCAGTTGTTGTTTTGCTCCTTGTCCTTGCTTTGTCAGCCATTTGCTTTATCTTCTCTTCCAGGGAGAGCTGGAGAAACTCAACCAGTCCACCGACGACATCAATAGATGTGAGACGGAGCTTGAGGTTAGTTTATTGACCAATGAGGGACTGGGTCAACAGAATCTGATTTGTGGGTTATCTGTGTGGGAGCAGCGAGTTGGCTTTTGACTGTTGGGGCATGTGCTTGCATGCACGCCACTCCTGTCCTGAGGTAGGACTTAGTTTTACCTGCTGACCCCTGCTCTGGCCCCTTGGTGACCGACGGTCTCAGAAATGAGGCTGGCAGTTTGCAGGCTCCCGACTCAGAGGCATCAGCGCAGACACAGCAGTTTTTGTCATTTTATGTGCTACTGAATCACAGCTGGACTTTTGCCCTTTCTCTGTAAACTGTAAAGTTTACTTTGTCAGCATGTCTTGTGAGAAACACTAAAATATTGGATTGTCTCTCAGTAAACTGTGTTCACAACATCCCAAAAGTCTCAAATTTCTCTGGATAAAAATGTAGCTTTGAGCACAAGGGCTACTGGCTGCCTTGTGACTCCATAAATGATTTAAACTCGCGCAGGAATCTGACAGAATCTGTCAAAACACAAGTTCAGTGTGGACATTTCACAATCAAACATTGAACAAGAACAGAAAAAGAGGCCTTATGAGTATTCGGGAGCATTTTTAGACTTTGCTTGGATGGTCCTGACAGCAAAGCACAGGTGAATGTATGATGAAATGTAGCTGTATCAGATACAGAATATCTAACAATTCTTGTTGTGAATCTGTATTTAGATTAATTTGTCAAACGTTTAATAGGGAAATGTTTAACTGTCAATTAAAAGAAAAGACTTTAAACTTTTTGCAGAAACAGAGGTTCTACTCTTCTGATACAAGACTCTGACTTGGGTCATTAAGGGAACTTAACAACCTGAATAACTGATGTTAAAATCCCATTAAAACCCAGTAAAATGGAAAAAAAGAAAAGCCCAGCAAAGGCTGGTGACTTAACATCTATGTGGGTCAGCAGTTTTATTGAGATGAAAGTTCAGAGTTTTGTTGGGCGTCGAGCATCAGTCATGCAGCTGAATAATCATCTTTGCGGGTTTCTTTCTTACATAACGGGTCTTTTAGATGGCAGGGAACTCTTGTGAAAGGGTTAACAGCTAGTATCGTGATATAATGCTCCCTGAGAACTTAGAGATCCACTGGAGAACTTGCTTTATTCAATATGCACACCTTCACAAAGTACAAGAAAATTATTATAGGGCTGAGTGTGAGATCTGTTAAATCCTATGTAATGCTGTTGGGATTCCCAGATATCGCAGAACTTGTGGAGGAGAGCGCTACATCAGCGAAAAACGAGAAGTTCGGGCTGAAAACTTTGCAAAACCTTTTGCAATCACTGGGTGTTTCTGGTGCACGACTTCCCCTGCTGCTCCTCCTGCCCGTGCTGGCGGATTGCGCTTAATTAGAATTCTAGATTACAGCAAATGAAGCAAGTGGAGGAGGCGACCGTGCTGCTGTGGTAGCTTAGCTCTGGTGAGCAGTGATCAAAGCGGCAGGTTATTGTGCGGCTTTTGTTCTCCAAAGCATCCCTATGGCCATGAGGAACGTGTCCCCGTTTCAGCTCATGTCAATTATGCTGAAACATCATGTTGCGACATATTTAATTCAGTTCACTTTTGTACTGGCCAAATTTGAGTTTGTCTGTATTGCTTTGTTTCACGATAGAATATATATCAGCAAATTTAAAAAGATCTCAAATAGGTTTATTATTGGAGAATAAAGCATCCTGTGTCAACCGCACAAAAGTTTGAATAAAACTAAAATCAAACCATTTCAATGTTAATGGTTAGACTTAACAGTCATTCCAGTGTTTTCAGGAGTTTCATGTCCAGTGTGTAAATTAAACTACAAAGCAGAGGTGCTAATGAATTTACTGTTGGAATATAACAAGTTGAAAACTTAGAACCTCAGGCTCTAAATGTTTAAACGCAGAAGTGAGTCATAGTTTCAGGTTTTAGCTCTGAGTGTGGGGGATGGGGATCTGCATCAGTCTGCATCACCTCACTTAAATCAGAGAGCTGGAACAACGCTGGGGGGGGGGCTGGAGGTGAACAGGACACGCATATTTTATAGCAATGCTTATTTAACTGAACATTAGAAAAAAATGAATTTATTGTGCCACATTTTGTTTGGAACTGTTACTGTGTTTGTATTTTCAATGTCCCAAAGTGTGTGTGTGTGTGTGTGTGTACAGTGTGGGTGTGTGTGTTGGCTGCAAGATGTCTGTACTCTACTGCTCTTCTGGATTGTTCTGAAATCAGTGACCTGGGTTGAAATGCTGAATGTTACTCTAAGGGTGTGTTACTCATCTTCTGACAAACTGTGTGGCAACTATGCCCCCACCTTTTTTTTTTTTTTTTTTTTTTTTTCTACAGATGGCAAAGGTCAAAAAGGGTCAGTTCTTTCTTCTCTGAGCAGTAAAGTCAGCACTTTAACCTCAAAGTCATTTTGTAGCTTCAAATAAGGCCAAATAAAAGGAATACTAACATTTTAGTTCCTTTTTGGTCTCTGAGTCAGTGTTTTCAAGTAGACCACACAGAAAATTAATAAACTGGTCTCTTCTGCTTGCGTGTGCTACCCTAGAGGTACATGGAGGCCGATGTAAATGTATCTTTTGAGCCTCAAATTTAAGCAATCTTTAGATCCAAATCAAAATTGTGTTGGTTGGTTGTGAGAAAAAAAAAATCCAAACCCAACACCAGTTTTAAATCTGATATGCAGAATAAATGGGAATAGATTTGGTCCAGACATGTCTATGAAGGTAATGGTGGTGCATGGATAGAATGTAAAATATGCAACAAGTTGCACATTAGGTATGAACAATTTGAACCGGGTCTGGCCATTCCAGAACAATACAAAATGATGTTTTATGCAAGGACATAGAATTTTTTTTTTTATGGCAATTAGTGCTTCAGTACATGTGCAAACTATCTGCTTGAACTGGACCATAGAAAGGAATTCCCCATTATTAATAGCAGTGAACAAACAAAGCCCTTTTTACATGACATAAACAGCGTTTCTTAATGAATTAAAACTTTTATGCATATGGTTTTGAAATGGCTGGTCTCATCAGATTGTCTTCAGTCTGTTTTTTACAGTGTTTATTGGGATACTTCTGCTCTCAGGAAGCTGTCAGTTTTATCTGGGTCAACGCGTGATCACTTCACTCGGATTGAAAAGAATCTAATGACTGGAAGCGTGTTTTCTCAGACTTTTCTTTTTCACATTTTGCACACCCTGACTCTTGTAGGGGGAAGAAATTGTACAGGCTTACATTACTGAACAGGAATGTCCTGTCAAGATGTCAAACAAATGTTAAACAAGGCTCCAATTCTCACAATCTGCTTTACGTATATGTTGTCGAGTGATGAGAGCTTTCCATTATCTAAATGACTGAAATTGGGTGCTTTCGCATCTTTGGAGTTTGAGATGCTCCACCAAGCAGATTTAATCGATCATAAAGCATTAACGCTTTTCTTTCACTCATTAATCCAACTTTTTATTTCTTCACAGGATGCAAGGCAGAAGTTCCGCTCGGTCCTGGTGGAGGCCACAGTGAAGCTGGACGAACTGGTCAAGAAGATTGGCAAGCCTGTGGAGGAGTCCAAGCCTTACTGGGAGGCTCGCAGATTGGCCCGACAGGTTAGTCAACAGGGCACCGAGGGATGGATAGAGGATTTTCCCCCCATTTTCTCTGTCAAAAGCAATGTGAGGAAAAAAACTTGATATTGAACGCTGCTGCCTCATTTATTTATTTTTGGTGGGGAATGACCCGCTCAGATATTAAAGTGTGTCACTGCTCTACTTTATGACTTTAAGTCCATGTTTTCTATGCATTTCATTTATAAATGGAGGATCTGCACATGCAGACTTCAAAGTGGAATGGAATTTTATCTTCAGACATATGATTATTAACAAATATGATTGAGTTGATTTCAGTGACCATGGGTTTTCAGATCTATGTGTTTGCAGCACCTCTACAGTTCTGAACATAATGAGTCTTAAAATGTTATCTTATTGATTGTGCTTTATTCAAGGAGCTTTAAGATGTTGCCTTGTTTTAATGGGAGAATTTTAAGCTATCACTTTAAGTGATTACTGACATTCAGTGGGTAATAAGGCATAAGGAGAGTGAACTCAGTTTCAGTTCAGCTCCACTTCTCCTTTCAGCATAGCCGCGGTGTAAAGTGTGCATGACTGCGGTGTGTGTGTGTGTAAATAAAGGGTGCAGCACACACCTGCCCAGCGTGATAAGAGCCCAGTTATAAGAGCAGAGGAAGCTCAGCCAACAAGTGAGACTCTGACATTTTTACTGTGCGGTCTCACGGCTCTCTGCATCATGCACCGGCCAACAGTGGCGTTTTACAACGAGAGGAATGATTGCTGTGAATATGAAAGGTAACTTTCAACAGAGTGCTGAGATACAGGCCATGGGGAAAGAGTTTCTGTGAAGTGACTCTATAGTTGGACTTCCCCCTTCTCAGAATGTCCTTTTTTAACCCAGGTTCTCTGAGAACAGCAGCTGAGATGTTGAAAAGGTTTTTACCAGGTTTGTGCATGGCTTGTATTGGAGGGTCCATGTTTAGAAAAGAGAAACACATAACTTATATTGCATACATCAAACTTTTCACACAGTGCTCCACAAACTGATTTGAAATGCAAACACTTTATCTTTATCACAAACTTGATCTCTTTTTATGTAAATTAGTTGACAATGGGGGTGAATTGTGCTAGGGAAGTACAACTTATGATCAGTTTCATTCTTTTTTGCCTGTCAGGGGACTCACTGTTCCAGCTCTGCATTGGTCCACTCTGCATTTGTTGTCGCACGATTAAATGTACTTCATGCTGTCATAAAGGCACATTTTTCTTGGTATTCGGTGTCCGTTCAACCTGTATTCAGCCATGTCGGAGTTGGATAATAAAAACACACAGGCGCACACTTCATCTGATGTTTGTTACTTCAAACTTTAATTGGGAATGCTAGTCACTATTTAACACAACTTGCGTTGAATCCACAAGATGACGATATGTGGTGTTTTTCCATTAGCCACAGCAGAAGTGTGACGATGTGTGTGCTGTTGGTCATTGCCCATTAACTCTGAGAGTCTTTTAGCAACTTGCAGGGTGACCACCCCGACCTCATTCCCTCTTTTGTCTTGTAACTTTCTCCTCTGAGGACTTCGTTTCCTTCTTTCTTTGAGCCCTTTCATCCTTCTCCTGTGGCACATTTCTCCTTCCTTTGTTGTTGCTCTTTACTCCTTCACTGCTTTTCTCAGCCTGGTTTCTCATTTCTCGAGTCTTTTCTTGTCACTTTGTGAGACATCTGCCATCTTTCCTTTCCTTCCTTGTCTCCCACTCTCACTTTTCTTTTCACCTTTATTTCCATTTTTCATGTCTTCATGCCAGCTTTACCCTTTCTCCATCATAACAATATGCATTCAGTAATGCATTTGATTGTTTCTCCCTGCAAAAAGGGCTGCCGAAAAATAACAGGCACCACCCGGGGAGGGGTTGCAGTGGCTGGAGACAAATAATTCAGTCCGACCTCGAGTCTAGCTAGAAATGGCAATTAGAGGAATGGACAATATGCATTTATACAAAGACAATGTGCAGGGAGCTCATGATTCGTGCCAGTAGGACCATAAAAGTTTCCCCACTTTGTAGTCCCAGGGTTTTCTTCGTTTATTCTGGAAAGGCTGAGAATTTCAAAAGCCTTTTAAACACTATCAAAGTTCTTCAAAGAAGAGTTTTTAATGAAAATGATGGATGCACAAAATGTTATGCGCTATAAAAACACCTGGATTTGAAATCTGTCATTCTCAAAGGCTTTGTAGTTGAAAAGAAAAAAGAAATATAGCTGAAAAGTCAATGGGCACTTTTTCCAACAGTCTCCTTAGAAAACAGGAATGTAGCATTTAGTCAGGGTTGAGTTGTTCTTGGAAACATTTTGACACTGACCAATTGGCACTACTAATGAAACATGGGACAAAAAGGAACCATGGAAACAAAAGTATGGTAAAGAGATACAACTGGCAACATAAACAAAAAGAATCAAACTTGCCATCTCTCCAGAAGAAAGACGTATCTGTGTTAACCTAAATGGCTCAGAGTTTGATATATTTTCTAGATCTCCCTATCAAAGCGTCGTCAAACTACAGGGTGACGTGAACAGTGATTAAAGAAGTGGGTCAGGCCGATGAGGCTGACATGTACAGATTGACTGCCAGAGTGCACGCTGCTTTGGACACACGTGCTGCGAGTGCTGATCGGGCCACATCTGAAGCTGAACTTTCAGTGGACGCATTTTCAGTTTTCCCAACATCATGAAATATGCATTGGGCTCACTATTTATTCCGTTTGCAACTCTTTTGAAAACGATCTCCTTCACGTGTTGACAGAATCAGCATTTGAAAGCGTCTTTCTATGTGTCCTTATCTAAATGTTGTGAATGTTTCAGACTTAATTTAGCTGCTTTCCCTGTGCCTTAAAGTCTGTGAAAGTGATGACTCAGTCCCTCTCCTCGAATCCTCCGGGAGCTGATTGAAAGTAGCAGCCCACGCGTCACGCCACACCACGCAGCGTGGCCTCAGGGTGGCTGGTGTCTCGTGAGAGAGAAGAGAAGTGGCTAGATGTGAGAGATGGGGAGGCAGTTATGCACCGGATTTGATTTGCAGGATAATTTTTGAGGGACTATACAGTGATAAGAGCGATTCATGACAAGTCTGGCTCCAGCTTGCAGAGGAAAAATGTCAGCAAATATAAAGATGTCGGTGTAAAGAACATGCATAGATGTCTTGTTAGTTTTTTTTTTTTTCTTCTTTACAGCGATAACATACGCCAAGCTGTACAGTGGTCAATATGAGGAGTCCGGGAACAAATGAGGGTGAACCGAGGGTTCAATATTCAGGGCCTTGTGTATTTGAAAACTTGGAAAAATAATCTGCAAAACTGTTAATCAGTAAGACATTTAGCTTTGTGGCTAAGCTCAAATACAAACATCAGTAACATAATCCACATAGTACTTTTCCACTTCAGATTTTTTTTCAAAACTCCATACTTGCCAAATGTTTTAACAGCGATATCTTTAAACCTAACTGAGTATAAAAGATACATTTGGATACATTTTAGATTTTAGACTGTAGTGATTTTGATTAATTCATGTTCATGTGAAAAAAATGTGTTTTATAATAACTTGGTTACTACACAGCATCCTCATACAAAACTATTCCTGCTGTTAAGTCTGATCCTTTCTCTTTTCCTCTGGCCTCTTATCAGCCTTCTGTCCTGCCCCTCTCTCTGTTATCTCTGCATCTTCCTTCCATGCTGGAGTGGAGAGTTTGAGAGATAGTCCTGGTGCACCACGGATTGTGATGATGGATGTAGGGATTTAAAGATGGATTGAAATCGGGGATTCATCGGAGGGAAGCAGATTACTCTGCTCCAAGGTCGGAGCCATCTGGTCTCCTTTTGGCCTCTTGGGAAACTGCGACTGTGTTGGTCTGAATGGGAGTTTCGTGCTAGCACATCAGTGTTTCCTGTAGAATTGTACAGGCCTGGCTGCCACCCCAAACCTGACAACCCTGGGGAAATGTGCATTGTTACAGAATGCCTGACCGTGTCTGCTGTTGTGTAACTGTTCTGGCAGTCACATCTCCACTCATCTGGTGTTTTATGGTGTCTTTGTTTTCACAACACAATCACTATAATACAGTACTGTGCATTTTCTGAATATATCACTATTTGCCCATTAGTTCTATTGTAATTGGCACAATCTAATTGCGAAGCTGTTTTAATTATTAGTTTAATGATAAAGGCATTTAATAGAATATGTTTTGAATATATTTTTCCATCATTTTGGGTTTGAATGCTTTTGATCATCGTAGCACATTACGTGGTGCACAAACTGATAACATTATGTCCATTAAGTGCTAATATTTCAGTAGATCTAGTTTGCTCTAACAGTGACCATCAGTTGTTTCTTATTGTTGTCTTGTAAAAAACAGAGCAAAAATTGTGATTCTTAATAATTCATGAATGTTCATGCTGATGGAATAAACGGAGAGGACGAACATTTGTAAACAAGTTTGCTTTCATTTTCACTTTGAGCGCACAGTCATAGCAGTCCTGTCACTTAGGTTGGGTTTGGTTATTGAAAAATTAATCTCTACTATTTAAGTCTTCATTCTACGCCACAGCTGCAGATCAATGCAAATGGCAGCATGTTCAGTCATCGTGGAAACGGAGGAGCTGAAGTTGTTTTCAGGCCGGGGTTGGTCGTGGGTACCGGGACAGAAAGGCAGCACTCAGCGCTGATGTGACCCATTTTTAATAGACGTCATCAGATAATTACATTTTTCTCCAGAAGAAATAAAATACCACTATCTACCGAGATGCCGATGATGGAAAATAATTATATTTGGGGGGAAAATTAGTCCAAATCAGGTCACTTTGGAATCAGATGCCGTCTTCTTTTGCTGTTCTTCTTGTTTTGTCTGTGAAGAAGAACAGAGCCCTTACTGTAGTTTAAGCGCTGTAGAAACCGATGGCTGATGGAGAGATGTTTATACGCAACAGTGCATTTAACGGGAGCAAATGTGTTGTAGAGCAGCCTTAGTGTGTCTGTTCGTCTTCAGTGGAAC